TGTTACCATCCAAGTCACTGCCTGCTTGGACATCATCTAAAACTGCAAAGCCCCTCCTCTGGGCCCCTGTAGTTTGTATTTTTTAATGTTCTTTTTGATCTTTGTTTTTCCCTCTTGCCTGAAAGCTTCGCAGCCGATAGGATCAGCACAGGACCTGTCTCAAATAAGTCCTAAAGACTGAAGCTATCACATCAAGATAAAAAAGAGCAACACTCATTATCTGAGGTCTCCAACTCACTATAATTCTCTTTTCTCCTCTTTTAGAAGGAAAAGTAACAGCTACAGCACAAGCTCTCCTGTAATTCTAAAAACTGCACATTTACAGACACACATGCACACACACATATACACACTCTTTCACAGACAGTTCAGGCATTCAGTAAAGACACTGCCCAGTGACTCTTAAATTCAACATTTCTAGTCCGTAACTCCAGGAAATCAAAAGCTGGGAGGGAACAGCACTTGAAACTTAGTTTGCCATAGAATTAGGGACTGCAATTATATTCACCTCTCCACTCACTTCCGGCCAGAATACAGATCAACCTGGAGATCTCTGGTTCTATCCCTCTGCAACATGTTCCGCAAAAGAAGTGGGAACTCCCAGGCAACTGGTACACTGTGGACCCTACCTACAGACGCTCTGATTCAGGAGGTCTGGGCAGGGCCCAGGAACCAGCACTTCCGGCAGTCATCCCAAGTGATTCCAATGCAGGACTCCACTGACCACACTTGAAAGACTGTGATTCCCAAAACTGCTTGCCTGCCCATCAAATCACCTGAGGAGTTTTGACAACAGATTCCCAAGGCCTCTGAAATTTATCTGTTTTTAAAACTCCCTCAGGTGAGGATGTGTAGCCAGATTTGGGAACCACTGGGCCAGACTACCTGAATTGACAGCTGTAGATTATAAACTTTCCAGAGAAGCACAGATGCTCTCGGGCGTCTCATGTATCCCTCAGTCTCTGACCCTCAGAAATCTTCCCCTCTCCTCCTGTAGAAGACACATTCACCAGAAGATGCCTCTTAGTGACCCTGTACAAATTGTATGTCTCACTAGAAATTCATCAGCTCATCCTGAGCCTAGGTTTTTTTGTTCTTTGTGGGTTTTTTTTGGGGGGGGTAATTAGGTTTATTTATTTTTAAAGGAGGTAATGGGGATTGAACCCAGGACCTCATGCATGCTAAGCATGTGCTCTACCACTGAGCTACACCCTCCTCGCCTGCGCCTAGTTTTTAAAGAGTGAGTTCTGGCCTTCCAATGAAAAACAAGGAGAAAAAACGTCAGGAAAGAATCAGAAAACCAGAAATTAGGGTCCGTGCTCTACCATTTTATAGACACGTGGTCTTGGACTAGTCATTTCAACAAATCCAGGCCTCTCATCACCTGTAAGTGAGAGAGCTGGCTAAGGTCACCTCAAGAGTTTTTCTGACTCTAACGCTCTGTTGCTCATTCCTTGCATCATGAAATCCACTTCACTCCTCCAGAATGCAGCATCAGCAGGTGTCAAGGACTCTGAAGTGCATCTGAGCACTCAAAGAGATGGACCAATGTCAGCTAAGCAGTATAAGCAGCAGTAGCTTCTCCTGATGAATGTGATGAATGTCTATGGACAGGAACAGGGTGAAGCATAAAGCTGGCACGAGCCCAAAGCGAGGGTCCAACAAACAACATAATAAATTTAATTTTGATTAGAGAGAAGATTTGAAACTGAACATGTTTCCTACTGTATTTCCCCAATCCTCCTTCTATCAAAATAGTAACATTAATTTGCTAACACTGACAGGATCTAAAGATTATATACTCTCTTTTAGGACTGTTGTTTTCCTTTTTTTTAAGAGGCACACACTTTCCTCAGTAGATTATCTTGCACCTGAGATTTAGTTTCCTAACTTTAGCGCTATTTAAGAAAGATAAAGATTTAAGAAAAATGAAAATGAGAGGTTTAAATTTTCTTACAACCCACTCAATTAATGCTCACACTCTTACAAAATCAGAACACAAAGAGCTGGTCCAATAACTCCCCAGGAGGTAGAGTAAGTTGGGTAATTAGAGAGGGTCTGAGCAACTCTGACCCAACCCTAAAAATCTACACTGGGAAACTGCTCAAGATGACTAATGCTGAACACACAGGACAGGGTCCGAATCCCCAAAATTCTTCCAAAACCTTTTCAGCAGTAGCTTCTTCAGAAGATATGCCCACATTGCAAAGTGCAACCAATCAAAACCCAATTTTAGGAATCTACTATTTATTGAACCACTTGATTCAATATAATTTATTTACTAAGAAACTCAGAATTAAAAAAAAAAACTCAACTTTATGCTTGAAGCTAAAGGAGTCAGACACTACAGAACACCTTATTAACCCAAATACTAAGAATAAAATGTTAGTGGGCCAAATCAAAACTAGAAGAGGTCTTTAGCATTCAGATGTGGCTATTCAACTTTTTAATTTATAGTTAACATGAACGTTCATTTTATGAAACGTGCTCATATTTTACTGATGTGAACAGGTTCTACACAAGAACTTCAAACCATCTGATAACCAGTTAACATGACTACAAGAGCTTTTATACCAACACGTTTACTGGAAATCTGGCATCAGGGAGACATCCCCTCACAGTGAGTTATGTGATCAAATAAGACTGAGGAACTGTAAGTCAAACTGGTTTCTTTACTGCAGGATTTTAATAGTTTTTAATGTGTTAATAGTCTGCAATATGATTCTTAAGTATGAAACTATGGAGTGCAACAATTCTTAATCTTGTCCATCAGTGAAACACTTATTTCGAGGAATACTCATGACTGTATCTCATGGAACAGAGCTTTTTAGAAAACATCTTTCGACCCTTGTGCCCACTGTGCATTTTCTTGGGTACTCTGCTTACTTACAAGAGGTTTTAGCAGAAATTTTACTGTGGTAGAAATCTCCATTATCCCCCTCTCACTGCAAAGGTGGCAGTGGGAGAGTCAAGAAATACACAACAAATAATAATGCAGTTTGCCAGTATCTAAGTACCCAGCCATGTACTCATTTAGATTATCTATGCACTACGGTTCTACCACCATCTACCACATAAAGCCAGAGAGGCAAAGGATATAAAAATAAAGAAGTCAAATTTATTCAGTTTTGCCACATAATAGGTCCAGTTAAAAAAATTTTAAAAAAAGGTTTACAGAACAGTAAGATAATAAAAAAACTGACCAGCGATGAGAGATCAAAATCTATGAGATGTTTCCTCGGGAAAATGCCTAACACAAAGGATACATAATTTGTTTGATATTTTCATCTACTCCCAGTATCCCAATAAAAAATGGGACTTTTATGCCTTGTTCAAGAACCTTTCTTTTTTTAATATGGTAGAGATAACTACTAAGCAATCAAACCTGAAATCACATCATTTATGTCAAACCCTTCATTCCATTTATCACATTTATGTCAAAGAAACTGTAAAATTCACATATAAAAGGATACTGTTTAGCTAAAAAAGTAAAATAAAATTATCAGTATCAGGACAGACATGTAATAAAAGCCTTTTGTTCTCTCCCCTTTCCCAATTTTCAAAAACTGTTTCTTTAATAAATGTCATGTATAAATTTCATGTATACGGCTCACACTGATTTTGGAAAAAGAAATGGGAAAACCTCACCCATCTGATTATCAGTATTCAAAAACAAAAGACAAAAACACTCCTGATGATATCATGTTGAACATCTAAATAACATAATTAGCTGAAGTGTAATTATGTATGGATTGATGACAGCCAGGTTTTACTTGGTGTTTTTACTTGATTTATTTGATTTTAATGAATAGTCTCTCTCTCTATGAACCTCAATCTGTACCTCGAGGAAATATGACTGTAAGACCACCAAGCCCACGTGACAGCTCTAAGTCCCCTTGGAGACAACAAGCCCTGCTGCTGTCTTGATAAAAGAATAGCTAAAGGTACTACCTCAGAAAAAGTAAAAATTGGCCTCAGAAATGAGCTAGGGACACCCCCTCCCCGTCTTCTACCTCATTTTACACCAACGGAAAGCTGAAGCTGAAGCCAAGGGCTGACTGGTCCAAAGTCAGATGATCCAAGTTCAGACTCCTGGTCTGACTCCTCAGACTGCCTTAATGTATCCTCCACTCATTTCAAATACTTAGTTTTATATTCTTGGTTCTAGGCCTTTTGATTCACACCATCACTCAAGCTTAACCATCACATGAAAAAGCTACAGAGTCTGTCTATACTTCATACATTTTCAGTTTTCGAAAACAACTTCTTCAGGAAACACTAACCTTTCTATGCCAAGAACATGCCCCTTTTATTAGGTTTTGCCTTATTCTAAAAATTTAGTCAAATCTTACAAAATATCAACAAAGTATTCCACTACTTAATACTCAAAATGTACCATCATTAAAGGCCAAATTACTCATCCTTTCATATAATAAGAGGAATACTCACACATCACATTTTTCTTTCCTTGTTAAGAATCAGAACCTAAGATCTTGCATTGCTACACTCAAATTATATCAGTGCAAATATTTACACATTGACAATGTGAACAGTACCGTTAACTTGGTCATATATAAGCAGATATTGAGACTTAAGGAAAAAGACATTTGAAGGCTTTTTCCTTTCCTAAGGAGATATTCTCCTTGTATCTCACTGTAGAAATGCTAAATCATGTGAGCTTAGAGAAATGAAAACTACAGGTTAATATGACACGTGCTACTTCAGGCACATACACATTTCTAAAATATTTTTTTAATGTTATCATATAGTTCAGAATACACAGAAGTGTAGCTGTAATATACACCACCCATAAAAAAAATTTCATACTTTAAAAGGAAAACTTAAAACTCTCTAAGTTTTATATTGCTGATACAGCCAGAAATAGAAGATCTACATGTGTAAAATTTCAGCACTGAATGATTTACAAGCAGTAAATTTATCTTCTCACACCTTGAAACACAATCCTTTACATCTGAGAAACTTTATATAAAATTGCATACCTGTTATTTTGTCTCGTACAAGCTTACAGGACTCTATCTCACCAATGCTCCCAAAAAGACTCTTTAGTTCCTCCTGTGTCATGTTCTGAGGAAGGTAGTTGACTATTAAGTTGGTCTTGCTGTCCTCTGTGTTCCCAGAATCAACTGGTGATGAGCAGTTGTTGTTTATGGTGGTTGGACCGTTGGCTGTGTTATTGCAAGTTGGCCCATTAGACAGTTGTGTTTCCATGGCAGCAATTACCTGCTAAAAAAAGAGAAAATAAGAAATGTCAGAATTCATATTTCACAAAGTATTAGAGAGTCCATCCAAGAATTTCAACACTTGTCCCTAAACACAAGGCGTTCTGCTGAAATAACAACAAAGCTTCAAAAAGTACACCTATGCTAATTTTTATTCATATTAAGCTATTCAATTTAAGATTACAATTATATTTTCACATACATATTCCATACATGCACATAAGCACAATTTAAATCTTTAACATTCTCTAAAACCGCATTTGGGTCTACTCACATACCCTTACTCACCTGCTATGTCCACAGATACGAGGAAATTTAGTACCAAAAAGGGTACAGAATCGAACCCTGACTAAAAATCATACTAGAAAATAAAAATGCTTAACATGCTACCAAAAACAAACCAAAAAAAATGGTCTACCTAACTTTGCAAAGATATTCAGTTAGCCTAGGAGTTTCAGTATTCTGAAACTGACATCCATCCATTAACTTAAAATCAAGGAGCAAGAGTACTTTAAAAAATGTAAATTTGTCAACATGTACTGTTTTGGTTACATATTGAAAATGTTTTTAATTGACAATATCTTATACCTCTACCATTGGTAAGAAATAAGAAAACAGCAGATGTTTTATGTTAGGGCGTGAAAAGCATTTCTAAGATAACTTGGGAAATAAGCTGAGTAAGTACTTAGTGTACCGTGTAGAATCTAACAAGCCATTCTTGTCAACCTTGGCAGCTAAAGATCACCAACAAGGTAGCTGATCCACAGCATCAAAATAAAATCCTCAAATTCAATATGGTACTTTGCCTTGACTCTGACTCTAAAGAAAAAAACAACACAAAACAAAACCCTATCCAGTCCACCAAAACAACAATGTAAATATATAAACTTCTGCAAACAGACCAGCCCAAGAAATCTGCATCTGAGCACATAAGCCTGTTGAAAATGCAAGTAATACGGTATCTGTCAAGTCCAGTCGCTGACTTGGGGGAAATCGCCTCAACCTGTTCAGGCTACTCTAAATCACTTATTCCACAAATTTGGACCTAGTTTCCTAAAAATCAATCCTATACTCTTTGAGCAAAAGAATTACAAAACCACAGCCCCAAAATTTCCAAAACCGTCTTCCAATAGTTATCTACTTTGGACAGCCAAGACCGTAGGGGAATCCAAAAATCAAAGCAACACTGAGAGGATTATCCTTCATATTTCATCCATCGCTCAGCTCCACAAAGAACTACATTTCAAAATCGACAATTCTGAATTGACAGGATGCTAGTTTTAGGCAAGTTTTAACATATAAAAGTCAAAGAATCTGAGGTAAAATTTAAAAAAAAAGGAAAGTAGAGGCAAAGAATGTTACAAGAAAAGAGAAAAAAAAAGTCTTTTAAAAAGCACATTGCCTAAGAAAAATAAAAGGGCACAATAGTGAATAAGCAAACAGGAAGAAATCTCTACTGCCAAGAAATGTTTATAAAAGAAGGCAGCATACGAGAGACTTAGACTGGTCAGGTTGGACGAGAATCAGTGCTATCAGGATCAAAAATAGGAGACAAAAAATCCAGGCTACCTATGACATATCAAATCACCTAAAACCCTTCCATAACTTCATTTCCGTTTCAAAGAAATGGGTTATTTACTCTAAGCTGCAAGCTACCTCTCTTGGGTGTTTTCAGAGAATACTTTAAGGGGTAAAGGGAAATAAGGAAACCTTTGGAAATCTTAATAAAAAAAAAAGCCTGAAACAATTCAAGCTATGCATTTTATTATAATTAACCAATTTATCTTAAATGGAGAAAGGAGGTTTCAGATTTCCTAATAAAGCATAACTGTTCCAGTTTGCAGAGTATTAGCTGTGGGTCACTCTTTCCACAGCAGAATTCTTGTGGGATTAACCTTTTGCCCAGCAGTTATGACAACAATGAGCTACAAGATGAGATGGCCAAGGCCAATTAAAACAAATCGCTATTCAAAAAGTTAGGGTGTATACATAGAGACTATGAGGCCCAAGGAGATTCGGACTAAAGCTCATTGGGATGGTATTTGAAATATAAAGTGTTCACTGACTGAAATTAGCAGGATTTAGCAAGGACAACAAACACTCCTCACTTAATTGCACATTTATTTCCATGTTCAGGTGGCAAGAATGAGCTCCTAAGCCAACATTCAAGTGAACAGCTGCAGTAGGCTGTGTGCGCTGAAAATTACAGCATCTCTCAGCTATAGGACCATCTGCTCAGAATAAAATGATACTAATGTGCTATATTTTACAAATAATGCATATTCCATTGATAGGCTCAACACAACTGTTCACAGAATGCAAACTCTTTCAACAGTTACTGGGCAAATAATTTTCAGCCAGATTTACGATTTCAACATTTTTTTTTGAGCATCAGGAATTGTAAATAACTTCAAAATTTAGTAACCAAAAAAATACATAGTAAACAGAAATGTAAAGGATTATGGTAACTTAGTATTCAGACCATACCAAAACATTTGTTTTTGTTTTTGTTTTTTTAAAAAAAGCTTGTCACTCTTTTGAGTCTGCACTAAATCCTAATTTAGATAATAAAAAGTTACATCCAAAAGCATGGTTCTGGTGCTACATATACCACTATAATTGCCATGTGCTTTACGTCCTAATGATGGCCATACCACAATAGGTTAAATGTAAGAATAATCAGTATGCCAAATGAAAAGTTCAAGTGTTTGGTATGGCCTCAGCACTCCTGCAACATGCTAAAAAAAAGTAGCCTACAGAATTTAAGAAAAATCCCACAGACCCCGGTCCAAGGCTCTGCTGCCCACGAACCACTTCTAAGCAGAGAAGCCACATCACACAGTCTGACTGCCATGTTAGTTTGGAGTTGCCGTCTGCAATATGGACACAAAAAGTACCGTATGTTAGATGAGCAAGATAATGCAACAAATCAGTTTGTACAAAATTTACAGTGATTGTATTGATATTCCCAGCACGTCCATGCAGTGTGGCTTAATTGAATTTGAGGCAATTCCAATCTAATCTTTCCAAATTCATTTTAACATGTAGTTTTCTTGCACAAATTAAGCATTTTTAATTAAGAGCCTGATTTTAAGACAGTATTAACTAGTTACCCTGGCATCTATCCTAAAGAACTACCTTAACCACATCTCAGAATTTTTTAAAAAAACAATAAAGTGAAACAAAACACTGCATGCTGTCCTGTCTCTTAAGGAGGTGGGAGAAGGGAGGAAATGTGAATGAAATTATATTTACAGTGAAAAAAGGCAGTCACGTAATTCATAAGTGAATGCTTTGCATAAAAGCACTCTTTCCCCAAAATATTAGAAGGGCATTAAGAGATGCTGTATTTGCCCACAGTTACATTATACTATAAATGATCCTTAATCCTGGGGCTTAAAATTAAAAGTGAATCAAAACCCTGTGAGGTTATTCTGCCACTGTAGTCAAACTGATCTCTAACAGTTTCACTGAGAATTGTTCGCATATACTAAGAGGCAGTAAACCAGCATCTTTCAATTGAAATAATTGGACCAATAAATAGGATTGTTTGGAATAATGCTTATACAGGATGTCAGCTTTGTCCCTGAACGAAATCAAGTGAACATTTTTTAATATGTAAATTGTAAACCCAGCACGATTCGAAATTAGTGCTGCTATGAGGCCTCCAATATAGTTAATGGGCCATTTACCACTTATTACAACTTGCCCAAATACGAAACAGAATCACAATACTGGCACAAAAGCCAAAGTTTACATTTTAGCCATATATGCAGATGCTTTAAATGGTCAATATAATATTCAGGAAAAACTTGGGTCTATGAAAATAAATGAGTAGCAAAGGAGGGCTAAAAATGTCTTTTACTTGCATATTTATGATTATAAAAATTTCATGCTTAGAGTTAAACCTGGCTGTACATGATTTACTCTTGATGCAAGTGTGATGACATTTATAACATGTGACAATGGATTCCATTTTCTGGCATCTACCAAAAGGGTTTAACATACTCTTTACGGGATGCCATGAAAATGTTCTACTCTTCTTCCCTTCTCCCACTGTTACCAGAGAATTCAGTCTGATTCTATGTTCCTTATTTTAAAAAGCAAGAAACAAAAACAAAAACAAAAACCCCGACTTATAGTTGAACTGAACCTGTGAAGAAATGAAGTCCTTTTATAGCCATGAAGTATCTTGACAAGAAACTAATTGCATTTAGACTACGGTTAGGAGGACCACACCCAACAGGTTAAACCAAGGATAAACTCATGTCCTCAACACCCTCAGGAGTTCGTATCTAAACATTCTTCACGACCTAAAACCACAGATTCAAATGTAATGGCCTCATCCCTCCTATTCCATAGGAGGCGGACACTAATGAGCTAATCTATTGACACCCCTCCTTCTGAAAGCCCCAGGGAGGCGAACAGTCACTGTATGGCACCAACAGCTAGGAAGGCTGTGTATGGAAAATGATTCTCCTGCACTTTTACATTTCAAGCACCCCAGACAGTTTCTCTGCTTGAGGCAGACACATACCTTTATGGGAAGTTATAAATAAGTTGCTCACATGGCCCTTACCTTTATGCGGGCCAAAAATTCAGTTACTAAAAATGTAAAGCTACTTCCCCTTCACTTAAGGACAGGCGATTCTGCTCTACTCAATCTACCACAGACAACCAGGCTGTGCACTATTTATAGATTCGACTGGCTCTGAAACTCTTTGGAAGAAAAAAGAAAGAAAAAAAAAAAAAGGCCATCTTCCAGCAACATAGAACCATTAATTTTAAGGCTTAAAAAAATCCTTCAATATATGTTTGCCTCTTAATTTAGACATCAATTGTACCAATTGAGACTACTTTTTATCCTGTTGTTCTCCATGAAATAATCTGTAAAAAGACACTTTACCACAGATCAATCTAGAATATTCTAAGCTTTCCCTGGGTTCCAAAGATAATAATGAGGTGTTAGTTTGGTGGGAGCATGAACTTTGAAGGTGAGTGGGG